TTCGGTACTGGGGATTGAACTCAAGCCCTTGCGCTTGCGAGGCAGGCACTGGAACCACTGAGCTAAATCCCCGGCCCTCTTGTCCCTTTCTGAAGCAATTCTGAAAGTCCTTTTTGATGTATATGATCAGAAATTCAGTGAATTTGGCTGCCAAGTGCTGCCCAGCAGAGAGGCAGGCTCATAAAACCATGACACCATGTCCTCATCCTCCTTAGTCACTGAATCTGGCACTGTGTGACTTCTGGATCTTCCCCAAAGTCAAAATGACCATGAAAGGGAAATGTTTTGAATCAATTCAGGACATTGAGGCAGCCATGACAGTGTAACTAAAGACACTCAGGAATGAAGACTTCCAGAATTGCTGCAGAAAGTGTCAATGACAATGAGGTAAGTGTGTTCAAAGTGAGGGGGAGGATTCTGAGGGGATTTATGGTAGTGCATTTTTTATTGTAATAAACTTTTAAAAATTTAAACATTCATCATATCTTTAGCTCACACTTTGTGAGATATGGCCTGTCACAATGCTGACCTCATGCCATGGGCTGGGGACTAAGTGGGGAAGTGACACATCCACAGAGCTGGCTGTGATGGCAGCTATGATGGTCATGACTGCATTTCTTAGAAGTTCTTTGACTTCAAATATACTAAACTGATTTCCTTCCTCCCAATTTGTGAGTTTTATTTTGTTGTACTTTGAGAAGCAAATTTTTAAAAATTGAACAGTGTCTGCTATTATACTCTGTGTAGCCTCTGGAATTTTCTGCCATTGGCATCTCCAACATTATCTTTTTTTTCTCCCATTTAAATGGTTCTATTTGAAGGTTTGTGTGAAAAGAGTTGCTAGCATCAAAGAAAAATCCAACAGTTAGATGACACATAAAATAAAGTTAAATTGAATTATAATGAACTTTCACTGAATTGAGCTTAACCTCTCTTTGTTTTTTTCCCTTTTTTCTTTCTCCTTAGCGCTCACCTGAAATTTAATAATCTCACTCTGATTTCAACGCATGGCCTCCCAGGAAAAAAACTTCTGGGGAATGAACAAAGGAAGTTTTTAGCAAGCGAGTATGAATTCTATTTGCTTTCTCATTCTGAGGCCTGAATGTCCTAATTTGTGTGCAGTCTTTTTGATTCTAAATAATAGATTTCAGATTGGAAAGGGAAGCGCAAGGGGCTTTTCTTCTAGAGTTGGAGCACTGCTTAGGAAATACAAATGCAAGCTGTTGGCCCAGAGTGGCAGAGTTGAGCGAACCCCGTGTGTCTGTGAGAGGACTGTAACTGCTCTGGCCCAACAATTGGGGTGGAGTTGATGATCTCAGCCACCCCACACTTGGATTCAGAGGGACACCACAGGGCAGTGGAGCTTGGTGACTGCGTTTGTGTTCAACAGGTCACTTCCTTAGGGCTTAGGTCTCACACTCACCCCTGTTGGTAATCAGGGCTTACCATACCAGTTCTGGGAGCTTTCTTCTTTCCATTCCAGTCAAACTATGTGACAGTATCCATGCTAGGAAGTACCATGCCATTAGAACACAACTTCCATTAATTTTAATGTCCTTTATCAAAACAGGGGTACAGAAATCCTAGATGCCCAGCCTTAAGAAACAATCTTTCAGTTTTTTCAATGAAGAGAAAGGAAATTGTTTCCTCTTGATGGAGAGGATGAGGTTCATTTCAGAGTCTGTGACAAAGGGACCCTCTTACCTCTGAAAAAGACTTGCCTTGCCTTCAAATGAGAAAAACCTTAGCTTCCCTGCCAGAAGAGCCAGGCTCATCTTCAACTAATACCTTTATCAGACTAGAGATTTGGGGTTGTTTTGGAAGGTTCTCATCACACATGACAGTGCAGTAAGAAGGATGTAGATTTGAGCCAGAGGATGCAGGTTCAGATCCTGGCCCTGCCACTGTGGGTCTGGGGCACAGATTTCATGACTCTGAGCTTTGATGATTTTGACTAATTGTGAAAAGTGTAAGATAATCCAGGCCTGCTGTAGTTTTTGTTAAAATTATCAGAAGCTCTGGTCAAGAATAGAGCTTGAGCACTCCTCCACTTTCTCTTTGGAAATGACATGACTCCAGGAGACAGAGGCTGGTTTTGATGGTGTCTTACAGGGAATTTAGTTCCCTCAGCCTGGTAAGAGTTTCTGTCTGTCATCACATTGAGTGTGGCATAGGAGAGATGGATGAACAGGTCTCTGTGCAGTGTGCTTCTGCACAAGCAAACTAACGGCCTGGAGGGGTCACCAGATGTCCTTGCTCCTGCCCCTGCCTCTCTGCATTCTCAACACAATCACCAGAGCAACACTGCAGAAACACGATTCAAACCAGCCCAACTCCTTACAGCCTAGAACCACACTGTCCAACACAGTAGCCACAAGCCACATGGGCTATTTAAATTTAAATTTATTTAAGTTAAATGAGATTAAAAATTCAGCTCCTCAATCACCTTAGTCACATTTTAAGTGCTCAGATAGCCACACATGGCCAGTGGCTACCAGTCTAGCACAGCTACATAGAACACTTTCATTATTGAAGTTCTAGAATGTTCCAAACTAAAATCTGCTCCAATCTACTTACCTCTCTGACATCATCTTTTACTATTGTTGCTCTTTTTTCTCCACCTTAGTCACATCAGAAACCACATCCCTCAGATACAACAGTCAGGCTCCCCTTAGGCTCTGCTGTTTTCTCTCCTATGTCACCTTTCCCAGGAGAGTGACCAGGACAGCCCATCCCTCCGCAGCCAGTGCTCCCCTTACTGCTCTGGTTTTCTCTAGTTCCTGAAATCCTTCTAAACATTATAAACTCCCTTTAAAACTACTTCCATTCTTTATATTCTGACTCTTTCACCTATAAACTAGACAAGGTCAGGGATGTTTGTCACTGTGTTCACTGCTTTGTCCCCAGTTCCTGGGACAGGGCTTGGCCCATAGCAGAAGCTCAGTAAATGACAGACACTGGATGACAGTTACCTCAATCGAGCCTGCAGAAGTCCTCTCTACCCAGTACAAGACAGAGAGAGACCAGACCCAGCCAGGGCCCTCAATAATAATTCTTAGACATCACAGGCTGAACCATGACCAGGATGTGGCCCTGTACCCCAGTAAAGGAAATGATCGCTGGTTCTGGAGTTCAGAGCTAGCAAGTGCAAATGACATCCATGAATGTAATTAATAATTTAAATTCCTCATTCTAAAGATTAATTTTGAACTTGTTCTTAATCAGTGTTTTGATTCATTTTTGTGTCCCCAACACACCTCTGGCAGAGGTGCTGAGGATGGCAGCCAGAAGGAAGCCGCAGGAGGAAGGAGATGCAGGAAGCAGGAGGAAGCCAATAATTAGCTGCCCCTCTGCCCTGAGAAATTGAAAGTTAATTGTAATGGTCCTTCTTCTAAGGGTGTCACAATCTCCTGAAGATCTCTGAGGTCCTTCCCAGTTCTAAAGGGTTCTGGTTCCATTTGGCTGGCTTCAAGCTGTGCACCTGGGGCTTCAGGCTGAGTCTTCTGATCCCTCTGCTTGGGCTGACAGCCTTGAGCAAGTGGCCACTTCTCATCCATGCCCTTTTCCAGAGGCCTCTGCAGCCTGCATTTCCACTCTCTTTTTCTCTCTCTCCTCTCCTTTTCTTATTATCTGTCTCCAGAGTTGTTTTGGTTTTCTTTCCTTAGTTCATGTTTGCAGTACATACAGTTTATATTCCTTGTGTGGAGTTGATACATGTACATAACACATCTTTATTCCTTTTTTTATTCCCTTTCCCTCCCCCTTCCTATTTGAGGAAGATCTGTTTCCCTACTTTTGGTTATCTTTTATTTTGTTCTTTATTTATAATTTGAGTTTCTCATATAAGAAAAAACATAATATTTAAGCTTGCGTGTCTGATTTATTTCATTTAACATTATGGTCTCAAAATATAGCCATTTTTCTACAAATAACCCATTTGACCATCTTTATGGCAAAGTAGTACCCCACTGTGTGTAAATACCACATTTTCTTTATCCATTCATCTGTTGATGGACATATAGGCTGCTTCCAAGATTTAGTTATTATAAGTTGTGCTGCTCTAAACATGGATGTGCATAGATCACTGTACTATAATATCTTTAACCTTTTTGTGAAGATACCTAGAAGGAGAATAGCTGGGTCAAGTGGAATTTTTATTTTTAGTTTTTTGAGGAATCTCCATACTGATTTCCATAGTGGTTGTACTAGTTTACATCCCCACCAACAATGTAGAAGGGTTCCTTTTTCGCCACAGCCTCACTAGCATTTATTATTGGATTTCTTGTTGCTGGCCAATCTTTCCGGGGTAAGATAGACTCTCAGTGTTGTTTTAATTTGTACTTCTCTAATGGCCAGCACCAGAGATTAGTGGAGGACAACCTTTCACATATTTCTCCTGTGGTGCTGAGGATGGAACCCAGAGTCCCCCTACAAACTAGCACTCCATCCTTGAGCTATATCCCTGGCCCCCTTCACATTATTTTTCAGTCAAGATCAAGCTTTCTTGAGAAAAATGAGGTCACACTGCTGTATAGATATTCCAGAGAACCCTGGTGGAGGGTCACCAAGCTGTGAGACAGTCCCTGATGTTAGACTCTTCAATGCTTACTAACTTAGCTTAGGAAATAATTTTGGAAAAATATCACTTACAGCCTGTAATAGATAGTTTCACACACATGATGAGGGGGAATTAGAGAAGGTCCAGATGAGTAGGTTTTTACCAGAATGGATAGCAATCATTTATACAATGACATTTTAAACTGAGAAATGTCACTCAATGTAGTGACAGACTATAAAAACACCAGCCCATGCTAACACTTCCTGTTAGATCTGAGTAAAGGTTCCTAAAAATGAGTGTTCCCAAGCCCCAGTTTCCCCTGAACCAAGCTGCAAATTTTAACTCTGAAATGTGTATGCTGACATTATCAACCCTACTGTCCCACTGTCATTAAAAATAGCATTGTCTTAGCCTTCCACAAATTTCCCCTGAGAGCTTTTATCTCTGGGCAAATCCTCATAAGACTGATCCCAGTGCACTAACTATATTTAATTTTTGCTTGTCTTGGATTTCTTACAATAGGGACTGTATAGCAAATATGAACGACCCTTTGTGTGTCTCCCATGAATGTACGGAATCAGTGAAGTTTCCTGTGTCCCTGTAAAGCTATCAAAATGGCTTTTTAAAAGAGAATTTCATCTCCCTATCCATTATTTTCCTGTGGCAGGCCAGCCCTTGATTTTCCTTTTTTTTATATTAAGAAGAAATTTTCTTGTTTTTAAGTGTTGTTTCAGGGAAAGATACAAAGCCCAGAGCTCCTGTCTCTTTCACAGCCCCATAACAGGGTCTAATGTGCATCCATTACTAGAATTCTCTTTGTGTGGTGAGACTAGACTCCCGTGTGATCAAAAAGAAAAAATGTCCTCCCATTATCACTTTAGAATCCTGTTTGCCTGCAAAGAGAGTAAACAGGATTATGTATCATTAATATTATTTAGAATAATACCCTTCCCATATACATCCCACTTGATAAAACAGCATCTCCTATACTCTCCAGTCTGTTCCTTGCAATGGTCCAGACCATCAGGGCCAGCTAATTATCCCACATGGAGAGGTAAAGGACCTGGGGGACACTCGAGGTCCCAGGGTCAGGGACACAAACCCTGAGAATGATTATGCAGCCAAAGGTAAATGAAACCCTCTGTGTCCCACCTTAGGCTCTCAGTCTGCTGCCAGGATCCTTAGAAGGTCATTAACACAAGTCAAACCTTTCAGAAAACCCAGCAAATGGCCCTCACAAAAGTCTTTTGCTAAACCCCAAACCATAAGAAACCCATTCTGGTCACATTACAACTGAGTGCTTACAGTCCATGCAACCCACATGGCCACCTTCCCTGAAGTTACAGCACTAACATCAACTCCAGGCCTGATGTCTTTAAGGACCTGCTCCCCATAATTGCCTCTGCCCTGGAATTGTACTTGTTTCAAACACAGTACCCTAATGGACATCATCTTTCTATAAAATGTATTTGTTGTTTTTGTCCAAAGTCATACATTAATTCTAAGAATGGGACATTTCTTGGGAAATACTAGCAAGTAGGGCTATGATCCCGGCCTGTAGGATTCTTCACTGATGTCACTTTCCTCTTCCTAATTCCCTCTGAGTATGTTGTCAGCAGGACAATTCAAGAGCTAAAGTAGATTTACAACTACTGTGAAAGTGTAAGTGATTTTACACACACACACACACACACACACACACACACTGTGTACTGGCCTAAGCCAGGTGGGACAATTTAGCTTTAATGGGAAGATGACCATTTGTGACTAAATGTTTCATAATGAAAACCCTCCCAGTATCAGTCCCGGTAAACTCACAGCAAGCTCACAGCCCCAGCCCACTAGGGGACTCGGACCAGCACACCAGATGTCTAATTAATGCCCGCTGTCAGCTGCTCAAATGTCACTTACAGAGCTTCTTTCTTTGCAGCCACTGTTTTAATGATAAAGATTATGCACTGATGTCACTATGCTCCTGGGTTAATGTGGTGGTGGGCAGAATGACGGGCATAAACCGGGCAGCCAAGCATGTCGTGGTGTCCAAGGACAAAGCTGTGCCGTATGACCACCTCATCCTGTGCACCGGGCAGCAGTACCAGGTGAGACTGTGCCCACGGGGCACCAGGGTGTGCATGGAGATGGCCACGGCCAATGTGCTCACTGGGCACGTGCACTTTGGGTAAGAGCATCCTCTCTGTCCGACAGCTGCCACTCTATATTCATAAAATTGCTGTTTGATGCCCGCATCCATGGCCAGATTTGTGTCCTCAAACCCTCCCAGAAACCCATTCCAAGAAAAACATTCTGCTCCCGGATAAAAATCACAGCAAGTAGGAGAAATGTCGTTCTTGGAGCTGTTGTCCCAAAGTCTAACACGACTCATGGCAGAATCTAGACACAGCCAGGCCTGCATTTAAGGAAATTAGCTGTGGCGTGGTACTAACATGACACTATTTCAAACATGTGTACCTTCTGTCAAACCTTATTTTATTTTGTCACCCAGTTATAAAACTAAGAAGTCGGATCAACTGATGTCCTGGTGACCAAGCTTTCTTTCCGTGTGATTAGCCTCTTGGACTAAGCTATCACTGCTGTAGGGCAGCAGATTTGAACATTCCCATGCCACAGAGCATCTTGTGGGGTCTGGGAAATAAAGCATGTGCCTAGTGAGAGGGCATTTTCTTTTATAACTCAAGAAGAGGTCTTAGCTACCTCTGTGTGGTTAGGGACTCATGGTGGGGAGGTGTATGTTTCCTTTACATTTCCAAGTCTGGAGGAGGCAGTGCTCAAGGGGACAGACAACATTGTCACTGCATGTGCCCAATAGCACAGAATGTCACTTAAGCAGTGTCCCCTGCTCTGGACACACCCTGAGGTTCCTTGAGGTGCTTTGGAACACACCTAGCCCAGGCCCTGCCCCCAGAGACTGTTTTAGGTATGGGAGGGCTGGACATCAGTGTGTTTTAAGCTCCCCAGATGTATTCTAACCTAAGGCCAAGAATCACCAGCTTGGATTTTCTCTCCCCATTGAATCCCTGATCCATGCCTATGAGCAGCAGCATTTCTCAAACTATGCAATACATTCAAAGCCCCTAAGCACCCTTTTAAAATACAGATTCTGGCCAGGGAGCTGGGGGTGCAGGGTCCTGGGGCACTGGTTTCTAACGAGCTCCCTGGTGAGGCTGTGGCTGAGGCTGCCAGGGAATGGACTGCACTTGAATAGCTTGGATGAGCCTCTAATTATTTCTTTGCTTTTTTTAAAGTCTCATTTTTCAAAGGGCAGTAAAGGATTTTTCCTCCCAGGTTAAAGGATAAAAACCAATTGGGGAATACCTTATTTTGATATCTAAGTATTCCCTTCCCTTTTAAAAACATTGACCCAGAAGAAAGCACCCTGTGCCCTTCTGCCTGTCTCCGCTCACCCACCCGCCAGCTTCCAGCTGCTTCCCAGGCTGCGTACTTTGGAAACCAAGCAGAGGACCCAGCCAGCTGTCCAGAGACTCCAGCATCTGCCCGTGTATGTCCAGCTGCCCTACAGCTTTAGTTCGTGGCACATTAAGCTCTTGCCCTTTTTACAACAGCAAAAACAAAATGAAGAAATGATAAAGGGAGTTCCAATTTAATTTTTCCAGAAGGACAGGAAAATCAAAGGTACATAGAGTGGTCCAGAAAGGGCAGCCGAATTCACTAGAGACCTTCCACTTCTCATTTTCGTTCCTGTGTTTTCCCTTAACTCTCTCATGGCTTTGTCCCAGTTTTGTAAAACAAAGAAAATAAACCTGAAACTCAAAGCAAGAAGTTATAAAATGTAATTATAATCCTTGACCTCTAATCAGATCTTTTAATTGGCATGCTCTACTCTGAAATATTCTGCTATATTTTTGATATTCAAATACCCATCACTTAATTTTTTATCAGAAAATTTGTGCTCAAGGTAAAACGTGAAATTATGTTGGACGGCTGACCTCATTCTCACTCCTTGGTCATTTCCAAGCCCTCTTTCCTGAGGGATCAGTTTGAAGGATTTCTGCAGTGTGTCAGTGGTTCCCCTGCACAACATGTTTATAGAAGTTTTGTTCTTCACCTGCCAACTCAGACAATCTCTATGACTTCTTCTTTTTGGAAGATGATTTAGCTAGCTTGTTTTCAGAACCATCTAACTCCCTTAACAACCTTTCTATAAACCTTCCTTCCTTCCTTCTTCCTTCCCTCCTTTCTTCCTTTCTTTCTTATTGGTGACCACATGCCAGTTTTGCAAAGCACTCAAGACAGCTTCCAAACAAGATCACAAAGCCACAAGACTTGTGGACAGTTCTGGAGAGATGTCTGCTTCATGCCTGGATGTGGGTAAACTCATAAAAGAACAAAAATTTATCAACTCAAAGTCAAATGAGTTTGGCATTGACAGGAGAAGATTGTGGCACACAAGGGGTGATGGCCACTGGAAGCCAGCAAGTGGGGCAACTACCTCCAGCCAAGCCAGAGAAAGAGTTGGTGACTCTAATTATGATCACCTTGATGTGGGTAGTGATAGATACACTGTGGTTTCCCAGAGGGTCCTGATATGGAGACTGGGGAAATGAACGTGTGATAACAAACAGTGCAGCCTGGCCAAAATCCTGCAGCAGACAGGCTGGGAAAGAGAGCTGTCCATACCAACCTGCCTCAGGGGATGGAAGAGAGGCATTGCTTCTGTCATTTGAGAGCCTCATACTGAGGATGTGGGAAGGAGAAGTAACAGCATGAGGTCAAGGTGGTTCTTTGAAACTTGGGTGCATGTTCTTTGATACTTCTCTCATCTGAGAAGTGCAGTTTGTGTCTTCTCTTGAAATTGGGCAGGCTTACAACAATAACTTAAGACATGCTAGAAGAAATCTCTTCTATGCAGTTGATTGATTCCAAGCAAAACCAATGAAAAAAAAATTTCTCAGCTACTTGCATTCTGGCAAAGGTCTGAGAATAAGACACTTCTGATTGTCTTAAGAGAATGATGGGGGTGGAGAGTGAACAACTGCAAAGAGAAATAACATTACCAAATGCTCCCCCTTAACAGAACAAAAATAAGGAAGGCATTAAAAAGCTCCTCTCTATCATTAAATGGCAAAAGAAAATAAAACCCACCGCACAGAATCTTGGAGAAAATGATGATTCAACAATTATATATCCACATAAGTATTTCATACGTGGAGATAGAAGGAAGCCATCCTTTTATGTGCAAGTCCTCAGAAAACATTATCTGTGTGTATGTATTTACTTTAATGTACACTCTAAATAACTGAGAAAAAAATTTAGAACTTCTCAGTAGTATAATGGTGTGAGAGGACAGGCATTCTGGTTTGTACTTTCACTTTTAACCATTGTTTTCTCCCCTTTTATCTTCTGCAGTATTTGGATGGTGAATTTATTATACTTTTCTCAAAGCATTCTTTAACCTTTTTCCTCCAAATATAAATGAGCCACTGCTGAAATATAACCTTTGGGACTCCCCACTTAAGACAGTGATAAAGGAGAAAAACATAGGTCACAACAGGGAATATCATGATTTCAAACTACTCTGTTATAGCAAAACTGTTTTTATACTAACATCAAAATGCAAGAGAAATACCCAATCAAGATGACACCAAAAATGTAAGAAGAGATAGTTAAAAGTACATAGGAAAAGGCTATATCAGACAAATTCACAGCTCTATTAGAAAAAGCAGCTGCAGCCTGCCACTCCTGGCCCAGAGGAAGGGGCTTCCCAGCCACCATCCCTCCCACCACTCCCAGCCCAGATGAAAGGGCTTTTGCCTTCCTTCCCGCCGCTCATGGCCCAGAGGAAGGGGCTTCTGAGCCACTGTCCCACCTCTCCCAGCTCAGAGAAGGTGAGCCGAATGGGCAGCAACAGCACCCCACCCCCCTGGTCAAAATGAGAAGACACATAAATAAGTCTCAAAATCAGACTTCCAGATAACCTACAGCAACCCCAAAGGGAAATGAGATGGAACACTGATACTCAACCACCTGGAACCACTGAACTGGCAGCAAAAGAGGATATGGAAAAAATGAAATCAGAAATAATTTCTCACATAACAGCAGAGATTGTGCTCCTAGTGAGAGACATGATTAATAAATCTAGAGAGGAGCTGTGGAACATGATGGAATCCCAACATAGGAAACAAATGGAATCCATGAAACAGATCCAAATAGATTTCTAGGAGATGAGAATCTCCATTGAAAGTCTACACAGCAGAATGAGCCAATGTGAGGACAGAATTTCAGATATAGAAGATAAGATTGCAATTAGTGACCAGGAAAAGAAAAATTGCTTCAAAATTGAGAGGAACCAAGAGAAATCAATCCAGCAGCTGCTAGACAATGCAAAGAAGAATAACATAAGACTGATTGGAGTCAAAGAAGAAACAGGAGAGAGTGCAGACAACATAAAAAACTCTTCACAGAAGTAATGGCAGAAAACTTCCCAAGCAGGGGAAAAGAACTTGACATACACATAAGTGAGGCATATAGGACTCCAAATAGCCTTGATCAAAAAAGATCTACACATATGCATGTAATTGTTAAGATTCCAGAAACTCAACAGAAGAAAGTTCTACAAGCAGTTAGAGAAAGAAACAAATCACGTACAAAGGAAAGCCCATCAGAAACACAGCAGACTTCTCAGCACAAACCATCAAGGCAAGAAGAGCTTGGAGTGACATATTCCAAGCCCTAAAGGAAAACAGGCTCCAACCCAGATTGATGTACCTTGAAAAACTATCTTTCAAAATGGATGGAGAAATAAGATACTTTCATGACAAAGAGCACCTCAAGAACTTCATGAATACCAAACCAGCACTCCAAAAAATTTTACACAATATCCTGGGAACAAACAATGAGGATCACAACCCCAGGAAGCAAAGCAGAATGAACCCATCTGGCGCGACAAGAAATTAAATGTAAAGGGGGAGAACCGAACAAAAAGAAAAAGTCATGACAGTGATAAGTCAATACATATCAGTTATAAGCATTAATGTTAATGGTCTCAATTCACCAGTCAAAAGAAATACACTGACAGAATGGGTCAAGAAGCAAAATCCAACAACATGCTGCATACAAGAAA